CATCCATGACGTCACGACTTAGTGTCCGAATGCGTCAAAGTGTTCGAAAAGATACGTGTCCGAACGCGGTATTTGTCCAAATCTCATCATCTAAACATATATCACCGCACAGATTTATATCATTATATAAGAGACCCTTGTCACTTCAACGACGATCTCGAAGATCCTTCCACTGCACAGTATATAAGCGATGCCGAAGCCAACAAAAACGAAGGATCCTGTGTGGGTGCGGTTATCCCGGCAGATGCGAGCAAAGGCATTATATTCAGGCTTAGCTTTATCTTCGTGTATTTTTATCTCATTCAAAAGATGTATTTGGAAATAAATGAGATATCTGGCATGATATCCTCAAGATTCAGATCTTGATACTAATAGTTTGCGTGTGTTCTATAGACTGCGAGAAAGAGGTAAAATTACTGGTCCAAAACAATGCGCAATAGAGATCAAAGTTGCCATTGAGAGAGACAGAGAGAGAGAGAGAGATTTTTTTTTTTTTTTTTTTTTTGCGTGTGACATAAAAGTATATGGATACACACGGACCTACGCACCTGCAAATACGTGTATAGCAGTATATGTATATTTATGGACAATAATAAATGCACATGTTTAAATATCCAACCTACACAATCGCAGGTAGTCTCAATTATGTGACTATGCACACAGTCACAAACTAGCAAACAAATCAACATATTCAAATACCTAATATATACAAAATCGGACACAAACTAATGCATACAGGTTGAAAATATACACACATGTAAATGAATAAATAAATAAATATATGTGCACATATATGCATATGAATTTATATATATATATATATATATATATATATATATATATATATATATATATATATATATACATATATAGACATACACACACACACACACACACCACACACACACACACACACACACACACACACACACACATACATATATATATATATATATATATATATACATACACAGAGTATATATCTACACATCTATATCTATCTATCTATCCATCTATCACATATACCCACCCACACACAAGTATATACATATATACATATATACATATATATATATATATATATATATATATATACATTATTTATATATATTATATATATATGTATATATATACATTATATATATGTATATATATATATATACATATATATATATATATATATATATATATATATATATATATATATATGTGTGTGTGTGTGTGTGTGTGTGTGTGTCTGTAATACACATACACACATATACGTGAGTACATATTTGTCTGTATATATAGCTCAAAGGAGCAAACACCGACGGGTGCGCATGGACACACCCACCCTCCCCTTCCAGCCATGGGTCCCTCATGGCTAGAACCTGGCAGGTCCTCAACGCATCTCTAGCCCTTTCTAGACAGGTCTGATCGAACTGCCCAAGCCACGACGTCCTAGATCGTTCCACGAGCCTTCTGCACGCCAGATTGTCTTGTGAAGAGACTACCGAGTGGGCAGGTCATCCACAGGGAAACGATCAAGGTGCAGCCTGAGTTGGCGCTCACGGATTAGTCCTGCTGACTGCACTCCGTGATCCGCGTAGGGATTTGTTACAAAAGGCGTCGAGGCGTGACTTCAAGGGACTAGATAGCGTTCAGGTTTCTTTATCATAGAGCAGAACTGGCAGTATCAAATTCTTGAAGACACGCAACTTAGTGTTTCTGCATAGGTACCGACACCTCCAAATACTCTTGCTGACTTTCATGGATCCTTTACCGTCTATTGACTTCCTAGTCTGACAGCCCAGAGACCTAGACTGCGTGGCCAAGGTAGGTAACGCTCATTGTGACTTCAACGTCATCGCCGCAAGCATGCATCGACTGAACAGGTTTCCCTAACAGATCAACCAAAATCCTGGATCTTGGTCCAGACCTCTAGACCCAGGGGCTTACCCTCATTACTGAATGCATCAAAGCCGTCACCAGAGATTCCATATACAGAATGGATAGCAACATCGTCGGCAAAATATTGGTATTGCCTAGAGTTGCTCCACTGTGACTTTGAAAGGCAGCACTGCCCATTACCCAGTCCATGCAAGTGTTGAAAACTGTTGGTACAAGGACACAGCCTTGTCACACATCTGAATTAACAGGAAAGAAGCTCGAGAGCCCCCCCCCCCCTCACTTTTCAGCACTATTAGTACCAATAAATAGTCTTGCTATTAAACCAGTAATCCGTATCTGAATTTCCCTGTCTCAAGATCTCCCATAGATTCACGATGCACCAATTCAAACGCCTTCTCGAGGCTGATGTAGAATGCAAGCAGTCCAAGGCCAAACTTACGACGGCGTTCCATAGTGACTCGAAGGGCTAGGATATGGTCTTTTGTGGACTTGACAGGAGTGAATCCAGACTGCTCCGGTCTTTGCTACCTTAGGTAGCAGATCCGTTTCAGAAAGAAAGTATAGGCGAAAGCCTTGTCTGGTATGCCGAGCAATGTGATGCCATGGTAGTTGCTACAGTCCCAACGACCCCCTTTCCCCTTCCAGAGACGGATGACCATGCCCCTCAGCAGGTCCGGGGGAATGGAACCGTGTAGATGGGAGTCAGGATAGTATGCAGGCCCCGTGCCAGAGGTTCATCCCCAGCCTTGTGACAAGTGTAACATAGCGATAAGGATATTGTTGCTAATTATGATGATTTTAACAAATCTAATAAAGAAAATGATAATACGATCCAGCACAGCTAGGATATTGCTAATCATGCCGGTTCGGCGCATCCCTCATGTTAGATAGGTTAGTTGACACGACAATGAAATGTTATGAAATGCAAATTAGTAAGTTACAGTATATGTCATCAAGTAATATATAAAAAAAAGAAAAGAAAAGAAATTGTCTTGATTTTGTTGGTTGCTCGGGATACCCTTTCATCATTTCTCATGGCGTAGAACAAGTTTGACAATGATAAGAATAATGGTGCTATTAATGATGATAATAATGAATATGTAAGTGATAATGATATAATTATTATGATGATGATGACGATTATGATCAGAGTAATAATAATGATAATAATGATGATAATGAAAATGGTAATGATACCAATACTTATGATAGTGATGACGAAATTACTACTACTAGTACTACTGCTACTACTACTACTACTACTACTACTACTACTACTAAGAATAATAATAATAATGTAAATAGTGACTGTAATACTAATAATGATGATAATGATAATGCTAGCAATAATGATGATAATGATAAATATGATGATGATAATAATAATGATAATGATACCACTACTACTATTAATAAAGATGATATTAAAAACAATGGTAACAATAACAAAAATGATAATGATAATGATACTACTACTAATATTAATGATGATGATACAGTGATGTTATTTATGATAAAGTGGTAATGATAGTGAAAATGATAATGATAAAAAAGATATTAGTATCAATAGTAATGATATTAATAATGATAAAAATTACAATAGTAGTAGTAGCAGTTGTACAAGGAACAAGAACAACAAGCAAAATATCATGGATATTTAGCAATATTCATATTTACCGCTAGAGCAACAATATCACAAAGTATCATATAGAACACACACACACACACACACACACACACACACACACACACACACACACACACACACACACACACACACACACACACACACACACACACACACACATATATATATATATATATATATATATATATATATATATATATATATACATATATTTATACATATGTGTGTGTGTGTGTGTGTGTGTAGAAAATAAAATAAGTTCTGATCCCTCGTTCATAGAAGTTTGTTTACAGAATCCGGCATCCAGCTGAGATAGGAGGCGGATCCAGGGTTGTCATCGTGAGGGGACACTTTTCTTCGCTTCATAATCGTTTTTAGTTTAGAAATTATAATAATTTTTGATTAAGACAGAATGGCGGCAGTAACAGGTATGAAGCAGTGTTTTTTAAAGTGTGTGACAATTAATTCTTCACTGTAAATAGGATGTGCAGTTTTATAAATTGAAGAAATGTAGACGCATTTCGTGTATGACATTTTTTTCATATATTTGATTATGAAATATTGAGCTTGCGGCAGAAGGAATATAGCAGCTCATTGAATCAATGATAGGCAATAGTACTTACTGATTGGTTGTGGTTGAACGTATGAAACATGACTGAGAAAACTTTGAAATCTTTTCCATGCAAAGTTTGGTGACTAATGTGTTTGGAACTGCTTGTCCTGCTCGTCTAGACCAGTTGGACGAGATATTTTGACTGTTCGGAACCTCTAATATCTTATTCTGGACAAGTTGTCCATCACGTCCATCTGGTCCTCCTGCTAACCTAAGCAGGATGAGATGACATCACAATAGATTTTGTATGTAAACATTGACAGTTGCAGGTAACCGCAAAATATTGATGGGTAATTTTATGATTCTTTATTGGTGTTATCAAAGGATATTTTTGGTTTGTCAGTTGCAGGTAAGTTAAATATGCATCAAAGGATTTACAAAACCTTTGCACCGTTTAAAATAAAGATACCGGTATGATAAAAAAAAAGTCAATGCTTACATTCGAGCCGGTTGCATTCTGGGCAGAAAGGGTCTTGGAGTTTCCAAATACAGCCCACTTGTCCTGCTGGTTCTGGACAATTTGTCTGGATGAGCAAGAAGAGGAGTTCCGAACGCAGCATTAAAACACGACATGAAGGAACAGGCTATTTTTTTTATATTACAGCTGAGTTTTGTTATACTTACAGAGCACTTTGCTAGAGTGCACTGATATGACTGTGTGGCAAGATCTTGTCATCATAAACATTGTTTATGATGTCTCTCGCTGCAAAATTATCTATTTTGCTTAGGTGGTGTTGCATGAGTAGAAGATTTGGTAATTGTTTAGAATACCTTCTCTTATCTGATCACAACAAAAGTAGTATTAATGGATTCCTCTAAGCATCTACTACTCATATATGTAAGATGTTT